TCTCTCTCTCTCTCTCTCTCTCTCTCTCTCTCTCTCTCTCTCTCTCTCTCTCTCTCTCTCTCTCGACCTCTTTTGCATCGCGATCGAGTAGAAAGAACGAAATCGCTGAATCAAAAAATATATATATAATATATATGTGTGTGTGTGTGTGCGCGCGCGCGCGCGCGTGCGCGTGTATATATGTGTATATATAGTATATATCGAACGGGTCGCGATAGGTAACGACTCGTTGGAACGCGCATCGTCGTCGAAGAAAGAGAATCTCCATCTGGTCAATGGACTTTGCCTCGAGGTTTTTTTTTTTCTTTTTCTTTTTTTTCCCCTCCCCCCTCTCGGTCGACGGAGCGCCGAGGCTGACGATAGCGGCCCGTCACAGCCTCCCTTTTTTCCTTCTTTTTTCTTCTTCTTCTTCTTCTACTACTACTACTACTACTACTACTACTCCTTTTCCTTCTTTCTTTCTTTTATTCCTTTTACATTTCTTTTCTCTTTTTGCTGCCAGATGCAACTTGGCGCTCTCAGCCAATTCGGATCTGCCTGCACTCTCGTGCACGATCGCGTAATATATACGCGTATTTAATATATCGCGAGCGCGAGGGTATATAGTATAAGCACAGAGGGTGACACGGGGAAGGCAAGAGGGCAGGGGAAGGGAATCGCGGTAAAATCGTGAGAGACGTTGCTTCCGTGAGATAAGATGCATTTACCTGTTCGTGACGGGTGTTATTTGCACGAGGCGTGGAGCGACGAAGGGAGGCAGGTTCGGAAAAATTCACCTGACGGGGACACAAGGAGGTTTATTGTGATTCTTGGGGGCCGTTTATCTGAGGCAGGAACCGGCCGGCAGCTGTTAGCACGCGCCAAGGATGAACCGTGGCCTATCTGTTTTCGTTTTGTCGACAAACATCGCGCGTCTAATGTTCGAACGCGCGATACCTTTCCACCCGAGCCGGAAGAAAAAGGACAAGATTTATTTCCGACTCTTACACCTGGTCCCGTCCCTTCCTCCCCTCGATACGATCCCTCTCGATACGATCGTTCGACGACGTGGATCGATTCGCCTTCGTCGAATCCTTGCCTCGCACGCGTCCAAACTTTATTTACTTTCTTCGTTCGCGTTTCCCGAGGCGTGACGCGTCGAGAGCGAAACGGGGTCGCTTTTCGGCAACTCTCGTTTCGCGATTCGATCGGGCCGAGTAATCGAGCATCGGTAAAATGATTCACCGCAGGGGGTGAATCATCGAAACATCGATCTCGCTCGATCCTCGAACCAAAGCCTCGAAGAAACTACGACTTTCACCGCGCCGACACGAGAGAAGAGGAGAGAAAACGGAAAATGGATGGAGGGGGATGGAGGAGGGGAGGTTGGTCCCACCATCTCCGGGTGGAAGTCCGGTTTTCCGAAAGAAGAGAGGAGGATTGCGCGGGATGTCAACGGGAGAAGCACGGTCGTGTACCACGTGCAGCCTCGGCGCCACGTGGTGGAGAATGTGTTCGGCATGCGTGCTACTCTAACCCCGTAAAAGGGAGAAAAGGGGGAAAAGGAAAAAAGGAAAAAAAGAGGGGGGAACGCTCGCTCGCTCGCCAAATCGCGTGGTAAAAATAGAAAGCGGCAACAAGTGGTCGCGTGGACCCGTTGCCCCTTTTCGATTCCCCACGGGTTTCTTCGTCGACGACCACGATCACGAGTTTCTTGAACCGAAAGACGAAGAAAGATCGGTCGCTCGACGACGAGAAGAAGAAGAGGAAGAAGAAGAAGAAGAAGAAGAAGAAGAAGAATGGGGGAAAAGAAACAACTCACCGCCAAAGTTTGCCCAAAGTCTTGGACAGCTCCGCGTTGTGAAGTTGTGGATATTGATCGGCGAGTATTCTCCTCGCGGCCTGAGCCCACACCATAAACGCGTTCATCGGTCTCTTCACGTGGGCTGCTCTCTTGTCACCGGAACCCCTGCAATTCCAGAGGAATTTGATTATCCTCGTTTCGAAAGATTCTCTCTCAATGAGATGAGAGAGATCCTGGGTTGGGAAAAATGGGTTGGGAAAGGCGCGAGGATCCTTTCGCGGATAGGAGCGTTATCCTCGCTATCCTCGTATCGTTGCTGCGTCCCCGAAGGAAGGAACTGCGGCATGCTGAAAACCGGCCTTAAAATAACACCGAGCCTGCCAACGGGTGACGAGCAGGAATGGACGCGCGCCGGTGGTATCCCTTTCTTTCCTGGAAGATGACTTCATAAAACCCATTTGCCCGGCCCGGGATCGGCCAAAGTGACTGACGTGACTCCTCTCCCCCTCCCTTCCTCCGTCCCCTCTCAAGCACGGAACCCTTCTCCTCGCGCTGTTTTCTTTCTCGGGATTAATAATCGAGGATCCTCCTCGTATCGAGGATCTTCGAGGATCTTCGTTCCGTGTGAGAGGAACGTCGTGCGCGTTTTCTAGGCGACGCGATACCGCGGAAACGTCGGGTCCAAATTACCGGAGATGCCGGTTGAGGAGGGGAGGGGGGGAGGGGGCGAAGGGGACGGGGGGAGGGGGAAGACGTGGAAAAAATTTGAGGGGATCCTCCTATGCACATATTTCGGCCTCTTTGAAATAAGAGGGGCGTTAAATCCGTGTGTAAACCCGCGAGGAGCCGTTGGTAATTAGCGCCGGTCCACTAACGAGGGTTTTCACGGGAGTCGCGAGTCACTTAAGGTGTATACGCGGTTTACCTAGATACGCAAAAAAATCTTTCAGTCTTTGCACCTCGTTTACCGTGGTTTTGCGGAATAGCGCGCAGGCTATGCGTCGTTACACACAGCCGTCCTCGTCGTCGTATCGTCTTCGGTTCGTGTCTGAAAAATTATTTTTCCATCTCTCTCCCTCCGCCCTTCTCTCCCTTCTACGCGTTTTCGCGAAAAAAGGGGGAGGGGGAGGGAAGGTGGTGGTCGGAGGGGAGGAGAAAAGAAAGAAAGAAGAAAAAAAAAAAATGTCTCGTCGGAAGAGTTTACCTATTTACCTATCACTTGGGTGGAAATCACGAGGGAGAGGAAACGCGCGATAATTCGAGCGCATTCTCATGGATTTCATGGGAATTAAAACTAGAGTCGATTTTATCGGGCTCTATCGTTGGAAATAAACATCGTACCCCCTTTAGCTTACCCCCGAGATAACCCCGTATAATTGAGGGTTAGCGCGATAAGCCGTCGCGCATAGCGATACTAGCTCGGAGATTTCAACCGTAACTCGCCGAGGGAAATTTTCCGTCGAGCGAACCGCACACCTTACCGCGCAACACGATCCGACCCAACGTTTCGTTCCAACGAGGGAGATTCGGACACGGAAAAAGAAAAAAAAAAAAAAAAACGCGATCTTCCTCGATCTTACGTTAAATTTTCCGTTTTCCTTATCGGGCCGCGATAACGATTTTTATCGAACGATCGTTGACGATCGTCGCGACCCAACCATCGATCCCCCTCGTCGTCCCCTACCCCCTAGAAAAGAGGGAAAAAGGAAGAGGCGAAAAAAAAAAAAAAATCCCACGCGAATCGCGATCTATAAGGCGAAAATAGAAAACGGGAGAGGAAACAAGACTCGAGATCGGGCATTAATTAGCTAATTTGCGTTAATTGGCGACCGAGGACATATTTCCACGAGCCGTTTCCCAAGCCGAGGAAACCAGTGCGTCATAATTAAGTTAGCGTTTCGTATTTTTAAAGTTCGTAACGCGCGTCTTTACACCCTCTCTCCTCTCTCTCTTTTCCTCCCCCCCCCTTTTTTCTTCTTTTCCTCGCGCGTTAAACGCTCGGCGCGTTAAAAAAAAAAACTCGTCTTCGCGATAACGACACTCGCTAAACAACTACCGTGATCCCGTACCACTCGAGGAAACGAAAGAAGAAGACGAGAAAAAGACTCGTCTCGTTCGTTGCATAGTTCGAGTATATATTCCCTGGTAACCGACGATAGGAGAAGATCGCGCGGCTTTTAAAAAAACTTACTTACTTGGTAGCAACAGGTACCAACGTCCAATCGTATCCCTGAAGAACTTTGGTAACCGCGGCGCTGATTCTCTCGCCTCCGTTCGCCGCCACCGCGCCCGTCATATTTCCCGCTTTTCCATTGTTGCTGCCCCCATTGTTGCTCCCATTGTTATCGATGTTGTTGTTCCCGTTGATAGCGGTGGAGCTGTTGGCAGGATTGACGACAGGGGTGGCGCTCGAGGAAATCGAGCCCGATGCCGCCTCTCCCATAATGTCGTTCATCTTCTCGATTTTCCGCTCGACCGTTCGAAAGGAAATGGACCGATTCTCACGCGGATTTATCGCGCGCTACCACAGTCGTTCATCGTTCACCGAAAGAGAAACATACGCGCATACCGTATCGCGTTACCGCGCGATGCTTGCTCGATTATTAATTACCGCAATTACCGCATTTTATCGTATCGGTTAAAGCGTCACTTCCGTTTTTCGCCACTCTTCTGTTTTTTTTTTTTCAGCTGCGTTTCTTTTCTCTTCTTTTCTCTTCTGTGTCGTCGACTCGTCCCTCGACCGTTCCCTCCGACGCCTCGGTATCGCGGAGCAAACGCGCACGTTTGTCACGTTTAATTAATTCTTCGCTCGATTACGAAGCGAGCAAATGCAACGAGCGTGCATCTCGAACCGACGGCAACTCTCGTCCAGCTCTCGTTCGCCCTATCTTTCCTTTGCTTTTTCCTCGCCGTACCAGTCTCGTCGATCGAGTCAATTCTAATCTCTTCTTCTTCTTCTTCTTCTTCTTCTTCTTCTTCTTCTTCTTCTTCTTCTCCTTCTTCTTTTGCGTATCGGTTCTCGATTTTATTTCTTTTCTTCTCTCCCCTTCGTTCACCGCTATCGGACGGCTGCTAGTCGACGTTAACTTCGTTCAACTACGTGGTTACTCGCTATCTATGGTCGAAATACTTTCGATGATGACGCTGCTCGTCGAAGAGTCCGATTTTCTTCTTCGATGATCCGGGGCCAGTTTTCTCGGAACGGAATTCTCGCTATTTCGCGAGAATCACTGTGCTCGAACCACGACACGAGATATCGCTCGCCCGAAAATCGGCGATCGTTTCGAAATCGTGGAACACCTCGTGGAACGAACGCACTCGGATCGGAAACGACGTCGGAGAAAACTCGGTGATCACTCGGCGGAGCACAAAACTGTTGCACGATCACGGATGGAACATCGCGCTCGCGTTTGTCCGATGGAACGAAAAGAGAGGAGAAGAAAAAAAAAAAAAAAGGAACGAAACGAGGAGAGAAGAGAGAGAGAGAGAGAGAGAGAGAGAGGAGCGCGAGAGAGG